GTGGTCATCGAAACCATGTCATTATGGCTTGGAGGTGACAACCGGAAGTACCATTGCTTTACTTGAACTCAGCGACGATCGAAAAATAAAATGACCTTTAGAATATTTCTTTTTGTGTAATGTTTTTTGTATAACTTTTTTGTCTTCACCCTAAACCAAGTTTGGTATGGGTATAAATACATATATACATTCTCCCTACAAAAACCTTAATCATAGTTCTGCAATAAAGAGATTTATCAATTCCGACATATGATTTCTCGCCGAACATTGCTTAGTCAGTTACTTCGTCTGATTCTCCCTCTACCAGTAGTCAATACACCCACATCAATGGTGTTGTATGCAGCAACTGCAAAGAACGACAAAAATCCTAATAAATTATGTTCACTAAATGAGTCCGAAACTAGCCTAGATCACCGTGCATTTACAAGCCATTCAGGTTTATACAATACATAACAGCTTGTCACTTGATTATGAGTTGGAGTACTGAATGTATTTTTTCTAGCTGACTTACACAATTTTTTAAAGTGCAAACAGTACAATGTAATCGTCTAGTAAGGATGCGAGTTGAAAAGCAAGAGATGAACTTAGCCTGCAATGCGAAATCAAGCTGTCCCTGACAATTTATATAACATCTCATTTACACATGACAATCTGCTCAACTAGTATGACAGTATTACTATCATATGTTGTTTTAGGGGCTCATCAGTAACATTGAAACCCCAGCCACCTACTACAGATGTTGTATCAACGGTTACTCAAAATATACAACAGTAAGTTGTGGTTGGTTTTCTCAATATTGTTTCTTTAATTTATAATTTACTCTAGGCTGGATATTTCCGATGACTGCTCGATGCTTGATGATGTTCGTATTTGTCCAATCAGCCAAGTGAGTGGAATATCATTTGTCGTCTAGAATATAGAAAATATTTTTTTTAATAAATAAATCAAAGCTTTATATTGCTAAAAATAAACAACTAATTTCCTGAATCAGTTTTTATTGGAAAACAAAATACCATAATATATTCCATTTCTGCAGAAACAATAAGTACATCAGTTGTTGTAGTACTTAGTTTTTTGCTATTTGTTCAAAAAATGCTTGTTGATAACTTTCTGGATTGAAATGACTGGACATGTTAATTTTTTTAGAAAGAATTTTGACTTTCCGCCCTCACATATTTTTTTCTCTTTTCTCAGCAAAATGATCCTGCATGGCTAATTGATTTGGACCAGCAACATCAAGGAGCTCTAGCAACAATGAAAATTGAGCTAGACTCTTTGAGCAATGAGATGGAAAATCTGAAAACGGGGATTAAGGAGTCGGATGATAAAATGAAATTGGGGGAGCATGAAAAAAAACATGGCTGAAGATAAGAAGAAACTGGCTGAAAACGACATGGCGCGCGCGATCAACAGAAGAGACGAGCCCAGGAGGATCATCCTGCCGTCTGAAAGGCCATCGAAAACGGCTATAAAACGACATAAAACGGCATTAATTTTCACGCTATTTCGCCGTAATCCGTCAGCTCGTTTTACGGGCCGTTCTTTTTTGCTAGAAAATGGCCACCGCTTTTAACACTATTCTCTTCGTTTTCCGAGCTGACGGAAAACGGCGCCGTTTTTTAACGTTTTACATCGTTTTTATGCCGTTTCAGGCCGTTTACGGGCCGTTTTCTTTCACCTGGAAAGCAGAAGCTGTGAAGATTGAATTTGAAGACCGTTTCACAGTAATCTGTGAGAAAATCGATCAAGCTCAAGCAAGGCGGGATCAAACGAATGAATAATGGCTTGAGTTGATCAATGAATATCTGCGGCAACATAAACTGGTTCGTGATCAGTAAGTTTTCTCGAATGGATAAAATTACTACTTGCTGCTAGATCGCTATTTTTCTAATTTAATCTATCTTGTTTTAATTCATAGTCGTGGTGTGCTAACAAGTAAGGCTATGACGAAGCGTCTCAATAATGGCAATTTCCACCAACATTAGATCAACAGCGAAAAATAAGGTCGATTTTGTGCATTAGAGTCAACTATACTCATCTTATTTTTCGTCTGTTATTGTTTTTCTTTATTTTGTTTTCATTTTGTGTGGCTTTAATTCTATAAAATTTTTGTTTTACTCGATCCGTAATATCGATTTGTAAATATTGTGCATTTTTTATTGAAAAATATATCTTGTCTTGACTGGGGAACTTTGAAGATTTCTATATCTAGATTTTGATAATTTATCGTGGTAACACACAATTAACTCACACTTTGAATTAGTTATGATTGAACGATTTTGAAAGCAATTTTACCGTTGAATTTTCGTTTCTCATGAAAATACTATTTAAATATTCCATTAGAACCCAATGACATATTCGCTTGTCAGAAAATATGGGCTAGAGTGTGAAATGTTGTTTTTATTGCATTACTTGAAGGTATATTCTTATATGTTTCAATTTTACTGATCGATACATTTTCTACGAAATGCTTGCATCGATTTCAGTGTCTATATGAAACGAAAATCTCTTTGGTATATTTACTAAGACCTTTTCTTCCATGAGAGTGTTCAAATGATTATTTTCAAGAGATTCTGACATGCTATTTTCTATGACCAAATAGTTGATGAATATTGGTGACACGACTGTTGTTGTTAGAATTTTCTCAAGAAGTTCAATTCAATGTTTAGGATTACCAACAGAATAAATAATGCGAATTGGTTTATTTCATTTCTTTCACATATTAAAAATATGAGTAGTTCTGAATATGCTTTAGAAACAAAAGGGAAATATGCAATGCATGAATAATCGCTTGTGCGTCATATATTTTAAGTGAATATCAGCCTATTTACTCTTTTAGATATGAGTTTTGTCAAACACGTTTGGGTTTTTCTTTCTTCTTTATCATCATTCGTTATCTATTCTTAGGTGAAGTTTTTTTTATTCCTTCGGAGTATATTTACCAACAATTCGAAAGAAGATGCTTAAATAGACAGAAGCAGAACAGAAAGTATAGTTATTCTATAAAGACAAGCAAACAGCATCGGTCACGAAAATTCTTATCTACAATAGCATATTATAACTTCGAAATATACTACAGTTTCTATTACTTGGGTGTGGTGAGTAAATATTTTGGAACGTTGCTGAAGCGAAAGAAATTTTTTGAATATAATATAATTAAAACATCTAGTAACTGCCCATAAACTTATTTTATTCATCAATCGAAGCACACTGGCACCCTTAGTGAAGTGAAAAGTAGAACCTAGAATTTTATATTCGTTTCCTTATGAGAAATTTAGAATATGTAGAGCCGTAGCATATTAACCGTAGTTGTCGAATTTGTTGTTCCACATTTCCCGTCTGTAGGGTGTAAGATACTACTTTTACTATTTTTGGTTTTAATTTGTGGTTTGATTTAGTGCTTTTAACTTTTTAAACCATGTCTAGTGTATATTTTAAATTTATCTGTCCTAACATCGTTTCATTCATTTTTGAAGTGTTACCAAGCAACTGCAGCTTCATTTAAATTCAAATTCAAATAAGGGATTCCATGAATTTGAAATAAATTCTCCTTGCGATTAATTCTCTCGGTAACAAATTAAGATAATTAAAGTGAGAGAGAGAGAGAGAGTCCGGGATGATCGATATAGATTGTGTGAATCTGTAAGGGGCTTGATATAATAGACTGCACGTAAGACATAACAGGAAAAGAAAAAGAGATAGGCTTAACAATAGCATAGTATTATAGTTTCCTGGTGAATCATATTTTTACAAATCAAATAAAGTTAAGGATTTCGTTGCGAATCTTAAAACTCGATTAAGTACCATATGGTATCAAATTGTTTTACTCTACTGAATTGTTGCACGGATAATGAAAGGATCATCATTTCCTAGGATATTATAAAATGATTGTAACAGTTTAAGAATATCAGTTATGCTTACACTAGTATTTGTTTGCCCAAGCTTTTATTTCATTGGCTTGATCTTATAATCGATTTTTAAAACCAGCGCCTACTTAAATTCAAAAATAGCCTATCATTTAATTTCTGCTAAAATTTATTCAAAACGGATAAGATTGAGATGAAAACTGTTCAACCCGTAGCCTTAATAATATATTTTATATCTATAAACCGTTACTATACTTAAACCTCTTATTACAAAATCTTACCCTTCTCTTTGAATAAGTATATTCAGACATGACAACCACTATTATTTATGTTCTCTTAGTTTTCAGTTAAAAAATGGCTGCAATATTCGTTGATATTGAAGAACAACAGCATACACAACGTTTTTCTGATATATTGGGAGAATCAGGTCGAATGTTGATGCCTATAGAAGGCTATGAGAAAAAGCCTATAGTTACGCTAGAAGAGGCTGTAGAACCCATTGTTGAATATGTACCTGATGTGAAACGAAAAGTCTACGTTGCGAAAATGAAATGTGCAGAGCTTTCACCCGGAAAACTATCTATTGATGAAGCAGCCTCGATTACTCTCTATTCGATGGAATGGCAGCCGCAAGATGAGTGTCTTTATCATGTTTTAAATAAAACCTTACGAAATGGAAATCGCCAAAAACTGACACCTTGGTTTCTTTTTCTCAAATTGATTCTCACTGCACTGGCTCACCTTCCGTCAATGGCTCGAACGGTTTATCGCGGTGTTAAGAAAGACATGAGAGATGAATATCCAGAAGGAAAGACACTTGTTTGGTGGGGATTCAGCTCTTGTACGTCCAAGCTAAATGTACTAAAGAACGAACAATTTTTGGGTGAAACAGGCCCAAGAACATTCTTTACGATTGAATGCGACAGTGGCAAAGATATCCGAAAATATTCTTGCTATCAAGCTGAAGATGAAATTCTTCTGCCAGCTGCACGGCAATTTAAAGTCGTGTCATGTCTCAGTCAAGGTAAAAATTTTTACATGATCCAACTCAAAGAAATTCAGCCGCCATTTCCACTCATTGAACTTGCACCACAAGTAAGCATTAACATTGATGCCAAATTATCGATACACATGGTTTTGTTTTTTCTTTTAGCCATCACCATCACCAGGACCAGGACCATCACCACCACCACCGATACCTATGTAACACTTTATCATAGACACAATAATACTTCATGATCTTTTTTTTTTAAATTTTAGTGTACCGAAGTCACCAATTCAACCACAAGGTAGGAATATAAAAAAATTGATAGATATAGGTTAATGAACAGTACGCAAGAATTACATATTGCTTCATATATTGATCATTAACTTAATAGATTTAATCAAAAGGACTGAGTTCTGTTGCGATTTAAATGTAAAAGATTCTTGATAATTAACAAACTAGTCTAGTCTTTAATGAATACTTCAATAGAATTATCATCTCTATCATTTACAGAGATTCTACGTATAAATATTGATGATTCTATCTATTGTATTTGAATGATTTTTAGACGAGCGATAAAAATGATTAGATTCTTATAGTGAAAATCATGTCTAATAATAACGAAGTGAGCAATATAGAAGGGTAGAATTACAGAAAAAATCATTCATTCTGCAAAGCTTTGAAGAGAAGAAAGTCCAGTAAATTATTAATACGTTAAAATATGACGCTTGAATTTGAAGATGAACACACATGTTCAATCAACATCCTGATTCTGAATTGTACTCACTGATGATAAGTAATCATTTTCGACACTGTGTATGTTACATCTGATATGTTATATTGTGAACTTGGTGAAACCTGTTTGAAAGTTTTGTTACAGCTTTTCGGGAAGAACTGTTTGTTATTCTGTCTTCAATCAATGGTAGACTTTGTTAAAGACGGAATTATCTCGAATTAAAACTGAAATAAACATAGGAGATATATTTCAGTTATAAAATTAAGTTTTCTTTCCATCTAAATTTGCCGAAGTTAAGTTAATCAGATTACTTACTTTTTCAGTTCAGATGTAAAAACATACAAAAGCAAAATAGTAACACATGAACAACAGTTATTGAAAAAAGTACTAAGAAAATTGTATTTGTCATAATTAATTAAAAATTCGATGAATATAACTAACTAGGGTTGATCAGAAGTTCTGACAAAATCAAATAAGAATATGAAAGGAAAGAGATATTTCGAATTTTTTTTATTAAATATGAGCTAGTGATTCTGTGCATATATGATCAATCAAAATGGCCTTCATAGAATCATTTAGACTGCAGTCGCATGGAGTGTATAGCATTCTGAGACATATAGTCAGAAAACCACACGCGTTTCAGAAAATGCGCTCATGTTGGATAGCGGATAGTCACTATATCAAATACTTAATCTAAAAGGATTTTCGAATTACATTCAAGCTACAGTTGTTATATATATATTATGAAAACGAGGCCTTCTACTTTGTATTCATGCAGTAGAAATTTTGATATTAACTATTATGTGAAATTTTAAACACCGTTATCAGAAACTTTCGTAAATCCTCAGTAAATAAAATCGCAGAGAATATAATTTCTACTACAAACCAATGTTGAAGTCGAAAAGAAAATGTCGTGATATAATCATCAAGAGTGCAGCATTGAAGGATCTGCAATATCTTCTGTTCGAAAAATAATCTTGTGCACATTATGTCCATAAAACAAAAGAAAAAGCACTGATTTCCGAAAACATCCATTTTTTATGTCATTTCTGTAAGATATTAATTTATTATCTAGCACTTGAGATCTCTTCATTTTGCCTGTTGCTAAATATAATTATTTCGAGGGAAACTTCGCTCAATCTACATATTTTTATTCTATCAATGAAAGTTCTCAAATGAATTTTTAGATGTTACTTTTGAAAAATAAAAACCTTACTATTTTTCTCTTCCTTAAATATCGTCGTTTAGATTTTCTTTTCTTCAGAGCACACCCATCTAAGTGAACTATTCTCTGAACTCTCTCTCGACGAAGAACTGATCCAGAATTCGATCTATATCATGAAATTTTGAATTGAATATTTCCAAACAAAAATATTTTAATTAGAATTTAAATTATCTTTCGTTTTTATCGGCTGTAGAATTATTAAAATGAAAAACTATTTTCTAACATTCATCAACTAAAATGATTTCTTTAAGATGTGCGAGATGTCTGTATTTTCTATTATCAGTCTATTTACTCCGCTTTTGTATAACTTTTCTTAAAATTTTGATTTACTCGACATATGGCCGTAGCTTCAGCTTACTGTGGATAAGCAATGAGAATTGTGTAAAATGATATGAATAAAAACCTAGGGAAAAGCATCTAGACTTCGATACGTTTAACATTGACCAAAGAAAAGAAAAATCTCACGGTGATAGAAAGAATAATAACGAAACTCGGTTTTCATCAGTTTACAAATGTAGTGGTCAAATCGAATCGACTAAAATATAACTATCTATATCTTCGTCACGATTCATTAAGAAACATATGTATTCTATAGGCACTATATCTTTTATTAGAGAACCGCAAACGACTACAATTACATTTGATAATTGACACTTCTAAATTGGAGAAAAATAAAATTTTAATATTTTTAGTGTCTAGTATCAAATGATAATATACTTAGAGCTTTCATGAACGCTTGCCTCTCTTGAATAACTTTGATATTGTTATTCGTAGAAAATATTTGTGCTTAGTAAGACTTTAAATGATACGTTGACATTCTGCATGTTCAAAAGTAGAGGAATAGCTATAGATTCCTCATTCGATCATGTGATCGGTTTCATATTTGTACTGATTTTTTGAAGAATAACAGAGCTTTCCCGTTTCTTTATTTGCTTTTTATATCAGCAGAGATGACGAACAAAAATTATTTTTCAAAAAAAGATTTTCCCAAGTTTTATAGCTTACTGTGATGTTTTAAATTTGATTCCTCAAATATAGAAAGTTAAACAGACATGAAAGATATATGCTTGTTAATTTATTTTATGCCATTGGTACCCTGCATGACAAAGCTCATCTTGAGTGGAGCTATTATTAAGACTTTATCAAAAATATGTTTCCATATTTTTTCTAATTATGATACTCGTGGCTTTCTAGGTCCTACCATAGAAGATATAACAGAACAACTTAGGAACGATTTGAAGCTGTTGTACAAATTAGATGAGTTTACCGTGCCACGCTGTTTTTTTATCTTGCCCGTGAAGGGATGTGAAGTGGCATCGATAAAAGACGTAAAAAATTGGTTGCCCATTCATTATAAGCTCTATTTTCTATGTGAATGTTCACACGAACCAACTAGAATGCATGTTGCACCTCGGGGTGGCTATTCCATTAAAAATTCGAAACAATTCATTCAAAGATATGAATCTTATTTAAAGCCGACGTTGAAAATTGCACAACTGCTACTCTCGGCTGGAAATCTTGTTATTCCACAACTAGAAAATGTGTCAATCGCTAACAATACTGCAGTACCATTAGAAATGAATACGCTTGCGTATCGCCAAGACATGGAGCAACGATTAAAATTTGTTGATATCTTAGTAAGTCAAATCGATGGCAAGCAAACATCACGGCGAGGTATCGATTTACGAGAAATTCTAACGTATCTTGAACTTGTTGACAATGAGCAAAGCCTGGGAAATTTAGACCCTGTAACTACTGATGATAGTCATGTTCGCTGGGTCTGTTCTGAACACTATGATGGAATTACTTTTAACGGTAAAATGAGTAGCTATATTAATGATTTCAACGTCATGGGCGGAAAATTCGATCGAAAGACCAAAGAAGCAGTTGTAATTGGATTGAATGTGACTGAGAGAAACGTTAAGATGATATGTGGTGCTCTGACAAAAGGGTTTAATATTGTAAAACTAGTTTTTCAAGATTGTTCGTTCTATGAGGACTATCTGGTAACATTACTTGATACCGCCATCAATCGTTCTTCAATTCTTTGTCTAAGCATGGTCACTGTTGCTGCTACCAATTTTTTTGGTGGGATAAAATACACTTGTAAAAATATGGTCGTCGAATTCAAAAATCAATCATTAAAAGTTCGTTTCAACGATAGTTATCATAATGGAAATATACCCATGCTCAATCAACTTTTGCTGCGAAATAAGATACATCGAACATTGAATATTTCTGCTTGTGACTTTCTTGGACATGAATCTGATCTTCAGCGATGCTTTGAATCAAACAGAACTGTAACAGAACTAATTGTGGAGTACTCCAACAATATAGATATCCTTAATGCTATATTTAATTCGAAAACAAATGCCTTGCATCAATTAAACTTGCCTCAGTCATTGTCAATTCCCTCAATACTATCTCCTTTTTGTGAACTGTTGAAGAAAAATATGACGCTTGTTGAAATCGATTTTGATGGATTATACTGGTTTCAAAGAAGAAGCTTTCGTTATTAAACTTTTGGATACATTGATAGAACACAAGTCAATCAGATATCTTAGCCTACACGTTGAAGACATACAACTATCAAATCAAAAAGAAACTTACATGATTAGATCATTAAGACGTGATAAATTTATTGCACGACTCTGTATATCTGCATCTATCATCTCACGGGAATTCATCGAAGCACTCTATCATGCTTCAAAAGTAAATGATACTTTGACTTGTATGAATTTTTATAATAGCCAAGTGAACGACGGAGATAAAGCGCAACTGCACTCATTGTATGAGACTGGTAATTTGCTTCAACTCGGTTTTTATGAGCAATCACGTTGGGATGTAATGTTCGCGAAATTAAACGAGCAACAAAGCAGAGGTAAGAGCACTAAAATTTTGAATTTCACCCATACCAATGAGAATAATTTACAAGGAGAGCAACAATTTCATTGATGACAATGATCCTAAACTCTTGTAGATTGTCGCTTGTAGGATTTAGAGCCCAAATCTCTTCCTACCAAAATGTATGCTAGTGTATTTCTTGGGATTCTCTCGTGAGAAACTTCTAGGATTGATGCAGTTGTTTTCCTACGCTATTTTTACATTCAATTTTTCGTACATGTCTTAATAGTTCTAATAAAAAAGGTTGAAGATTTGATTTATTATTAAAATAGTAGTTGATACTCCATCTTTCTCGCCTACCCATTTCAACTGCATAGCATTGGAATATAACTGAGAACAATCGTTTTCTTGTTCATTCAACGATTGCGTACACCAGTCAGATTGTTCTTCAAAATTATAGGTTTTTCAAATTCTCTTCACTTGAATAGATCATAGTCATATAGATCGAATTTTCACTGACAACACATAATATAATGCCTGCCATTTGTCCCTTCGAGCTTTTTAATGACACGAAACTCGCCTAAGAAAAATAATTTATTGACTTTCCCAATGAGACTATACTTCACATTGGAGATAAAGTGAATGACAATACAAACAGAAATATTCATATCATAGATTGTGATTTACACAGCATATATTTTAAATATGCAGTTTAATTCAGAGAGTTGTCATCTCTTATAGATGTAAATTAAGTGCACTGTATTTTACTCACTTAGAAAAAAATCACACATAAAAGATCCTTCGATATTTAATTTCTATTTTTATGTTGCGAGTTGTATTTAAATAGAATAGGCGGGTTTGATAGATACTTATCGGCGAAAAATTTCTGTATACGAAACGTTTTTTTTCGACGAAATCGTACAATTGAATAAATTTTTATTGCAGAATTTATGTTCATTTCATATCAATTAATGCAATAGGCTATTGTATCAACATAGTGTGAGACAAGAAAAAGGATTTCTATGATAGATAGCCTGTAAAAAAAACATTGGATCATTCTACATACTTTTATATTTCTTCAATATAAAATATCATAATAAATAAAATTATTCTTCATACCCGTAAACGAATTAATAGAAAAATTATGATTCAATGAACTATTTCAGATATTTATCAGTATCAGCTGTCTTATAAAAACGTATATTCGATATACTTAACAAGATATCGGAAATATCGGAAGGAGGGGGCAAATGTAGAAAACAAGAAAAAAGATCTGTACAGTTAAAGTTTTGAATTTTCAATGTATTCCTACTCAGGAAAGAAAGATTTGTTTCACCGTATTACTCATTCAAAATATTAAATAAACAGAAAATACATTGAAATGAAGAATAACAAAAATAGTCATATTATTTTCCAGAATTAACAAAGGTATGAAACTAATTTGAAAATTTATAAAATAGTTTTTTTCTTAACAAAAATCAATCGATACTTTTGCTTTTATTATTCATTCTAAAAATATTGAATGAAACAGCACAGTGCTACCCAAAATTTCAGTTTCAATAGGATATAGCTACTATTTTTTTCCGTTGAAGTGTCTAGATTCCGTTCATACAATATTTTGATCCAAATAGTACTTCAACTATGAAATTTAACCTGAGATAAGAGTTCAAAATATGTCCTTCGCATCTTTACTTTTAAACAAAAAATGATTTAAGATTCTCTTTCAAAACAAGTGTTGTAACCTCTATAATGACGAGAAGATGCATGTTTTTAATAAAAAATACTATAAAGCGATAAGAATTTTAGTTTTTTTTAATTTCACATTTGCCAATGTCCAATCTTAATACAATAGAATAAATAAAATTCATCACTTGAAAAAAAAAGAAAAAATTGTAGAAGGTCTTTTCGAGATTCAGTTTCAAAATGAAAAATAATTTGATGATCAGCATTTTCTTTTTTTAGAAATATAATATATGATCGATTGAAGAGAAATCAAATCTAACAGTTATATATTGCAATATATATATATATCCATGTTACTATTTCTTTTTTTTTATCATTCACAAATTAATTATGACATTTTTTCGAAAAAC